CTGTAGTCATCTGCGAGGTGTACTTCACTGTAAACTGTAAAGACACAATGTGCCTTTAGATATAATTTGCATTATGCTCTATAATCATAGTAAAAGATGCCCTCTGGTATATCATAGTTTTTATACATTGTATACCTCAGCATGTACCGGTACTAACTAAAACAATTTGTCTATCTAATGTAAAAATAGAAAACAACATGAAGTTCATTAGCTCTCTTATTACTCCATTATCATTTCAGAAGGCAGAGCTCTTTGCGTGGCTGAAAGTAGTGATAATAATAATAATGATAGCTTTATTTATACAGCACATTTTACATGGTTGAACCAGGAACAAAAATATTTTAGAACTGCAACAATAAAATCAAACAAGATAGAAATAAAATAGAAATACGACACCCAAAACGATACCGTGAAACGGATAAGATATTAAAATAAAATGGTGTGCTCGCATTAATATAAAGCTTTGATAAAGTAAACCTTTGCTGTTGAGAATTAAAAGTGGAAACTCTTTCAGATGTTTCTCACAGGTATTTTCTTCATGTAGTGTTCCTGCCATACACAAACAAACTGAAGATATTTGTTACGTGTGTCATGTACTGTTCAGTAGATAATCGCATTCATTCCCGTCTAATGTAATCGTTATTTAACGACAACATAAGAAGCACAGTCAGTATCCTCCTATATGTAAATCCACTTGTATTAGTTGATGGCATAACCACCTGTCGCTCTAATTCACTCAATCATTTAATTCCATGATATCATTGTGTCGTCTGCAGACCCGACCTACTCCACCTCACCTTACCTCAGCCATGGCTGAGAACATCCTGGCTGCCGCCTGCGAGAGCGAATCACGCAACGCCGCAAAGAGGATGCGCCTCGATGGCTATCATGTAAGTGTGTGTGTGTGTGTGTGTGTGTGTGTGTAGCCTAATTCCTATGTGAAAAGGAAAAAAATATTACTTGATGTTTTGTATTTGACTAATTAAATCTACATAGAAGCCTCGCAGGCTCTGTTCTGTCCGACCAGTTCAGTAATGAGCTGTTGATTGAGAATCACTGTAATACTGAGAGAAGTGTGTCGTTACGCCTGCAGACCTGAGTTGTAGTTAAACAAACAGAGTTAATGATCAGTGGGTGAAGCCAAAGAATTGCAGTTAATCTGGTTAAATGAGCATTCTTAGTATGTTACAAACTGCAAAACACAATCCAGCCACACTGACACATCTATGTGATCCAGTAAGTTATTAAGTTATTATTGTACAGAAGAAATACTGGTTTATTTTACATTTTGTGTCCACAAAAGATGACTTTTTTAAATCACCATGATCACTAGAGGGGCACTCGGAGAGCGCAGACCGTTTCCAGAAGAATTTGTGTATCCGCCAGGTGATTGGATCTGCTCCAAAGTGTAATGTTTTCCTCCTTGGCCCCAACTCAACAGTTCCACTAAGTTTCATGAAAATTGGGCCATTGGTTTTTCCGTAATCCTGCTGACGAACAGACAAACAAACGAACCAAAGCCTAATGCCTCACATGCGGATTTGCAATATTGTAATTCTTGTGCTGCCGGTTTCTTTTAGAAAAGTAGGGACATTACCCTGAGTTCTTTCCACCACTTATATTTGAATACACCCAGCTTTCTGTACTCTAATCCCCCCCATTCCCTCTTCCAGGATGATCAGATCTCTCTGGACAAGCCGTCCAGTGGTGGAGGAGGTCTGAGGGAGCCGGCGTCCCTGGCTCACTCCGCCTACTCCCTGGCCGCATCCGCCTTCTCCTCCCAGGACTCCCAGCTCTATATCAACGGGGCTGGCCTCAGCTATGGTTACCGTGGATACCCGGGCCTGGGCGCTGCCACGCAACACCCCGTTTCCCTGACGACCGGCGCCGCCGCCCAGAGCAACGGTGAGGATGGGACCGAGATACAGATAAAGAGGATCTTCCTGCAGACAGGGAGGAGATGGACAAGACGTCGTGGTTAGAAGGGAGCGGGCAGTGAGGAGGGAGAGTGATAGAGGGGTGATTTGGGGGAGCAGGCAGTGAGGAGGGAGAGTGATAGAGGGGTGATTTGGGGATGAATTAGGAGGAGAAGGAGCAGCAGATGTAGCAGCTAACGCACATACATGATACTGATGTATGTCGGCCTCGCTAAAGCCGGGGTAGGCAGTTTATTTTTGACTAATTGGGCAAAACGTCCATAATAACCTTTCAGCAAATTGTAATTCAAGTGTCTGAGAGAAAATTTGACTTCTGCATCTCCTCTTGGCCGTGTTTTAGTGTTTCAGAAAATCTAGTCTTTAACGGAGACTTTGGCCAATCAGATCAATGAAACTACCCCCCCCCCCATCTTTAAAGGTGCAATATATTGGATTCAGAGCATTAATATAACATCAAACAACTATTGTTTATAAAGATATAGTGGATTCATGTCTACCTGAGCTGAGAAGTCACTCTCCTTCTGTGTGTCTTAGTAATCCAGGCTTCTCTGTCTGCTCCTCAGTTTGTTCCTGCGACCTAATGAGTTGTGGATCTTGGTGAAATACATTTTCAGTTTAAAGAGTAACTTGCAGGCTGCGTTAAGGAGTGTTTCACTGTCATCTCTGGTTGAAAGTTTCACCCACCCAGTATCACCGATGTGTGTTTTGTTGCACCTGTAACCACAGTCAACAGTGATGCCGAGGTTACTGCCCCACAATCGCAGATAACTGTGAGAGAGAGAGAGCGCTGGTCGGCGTGAGACGCAGCTTTGCAGTGGAAACATCTTTGCTAGATTAACTGACTAGAGAGTGTTTCCATGAGCACAGTATTTAGTTCACAAGGTTCTTTGTTCTCGTCACCTTGGAGCTTACGGTTTAATGATCGCCACAAGTGATAGAAGACACATTACAGCAGTCCTCTCTCATTTTGAACTGACTGATCTTTTGCTCCTTCGCCTCCTCTCCCTGTCTCCTTCTCTTCATTTCACCTTTTACGTATATATCCTTTCTCTCCTCCGTTCTTTTCTCCATTCATCAATCTCTTCCTCCTCTTCTTCATCAACCCCCCCTCCCCTCACCGTTTCTCCCTCCTCTCTCCATCCACCTTCAGGCCCCACAGACCTCAGCATGAAATCTCTCTCCTCTGCCAACATCAGTAACTCCACCTCCTCAGCCTCCACCAACAACAGCCTGGGTGGGCGGGGCAGCGGGGGTGGAGGGGGGGGGCGGGGCATCGGCCCAGCTCAGCCAACCGGAGATCACGGCCGTGCGTCAGCTGATTGCCGGCTACAGGGAGTCAGCCGCCTTCCTGCTGCGCTCGGCAGACGAGTTGGAGAACCTCATCCTGCAGCAGAACTGATTCAGGGGAAACGTGGGAGAACACACACACACGCACACATTTTCCATTATGTTTGTTTTGTGTCCGTCTGCGCCCCCCGTCTCTCCTTAACAAAGCTGAGCCCCAGACCTCTTGTTTTTGCTGTTCCCTCCTTCAGAAACTGTCGCCACTTTTGATTTTCTAGAGGAAAACAGTGGGAAACTGGGATAGAGGGACGGAGACCAATCCCACCCCGCCGTCCCCAAAACAATCCCCCACAACCTCAATCCATTAAAAAAGGAGCATATGGTCTCTGAAGGAATCGCTTCCTCTCCTCTCTGGAGGAACCTCACAATCAGCACTACACTCTGGGCGAAGGGGTGTGGAGGAGAGAAAGAGAGGAGGAGGATAAAAGAGGAGCGTAGCTTGGACGAAGAGTAAAGATGACTGCAAGGCTGTTGATTCTGCTGCTGTGGTTTCAGAAGAAAGAGACTTTGCCTCGTGGATGGAGAAGTGACGTTTTTGAGTTTTGTTTGACGGGAGCCCCAGCCAACGGCAACGATCATAACCATTAAAATAATTAAAAATATTGACTCCCTGAATTAGTACGACTGAAGCTTATTGTTAAATGACCAGTGTTTTTGATTTTTTTGGAGTCCAGTGTGCATTTTTTTGTTTTTTGTTTATTGTTGTTTTTGTTTTTTACTCTTCCCAAGTGACTGAAAGAAAGCAAAGCGGTTTGACTTCTCTTGACAGATGGCACTAAATACGGAGAAGACTTTGAGTCCGGTGGGCGATAGGATGGAAACTGGAAAAGAAAAAAAGTTGATGTTTTGTTTGAAAAAGGAGGAGGAGAGAAACTTTTTGTGCTCGCTTGTATATAAGCTCTCTTTGTCCTATAGCACTTTTTCCTCACCTGAAACCTCACCCTAAACCCCCCATCCTCCTCGCCCCTTTTACCCAGGGAGCAACTTGCTACTTATGCATCCAAGACGCCATGTGGACTACCAGGAAATACCTCAGATCAGACCTGCCAATTCCATTTTCAGTTCCTCACGCATACACGAACATATACGCGCACACACTCTGCAAATGAATGGTAACATTCCCACCAGAAGCCAGTATACTTCTACTTTACCACCTGATGTCTTCAAGGATTATATATTTTGGGGCGAGAATCAAACTATATTGCTCAAAAGACCTGCAATATCGAAATATGATGAAGCATTTCAAGAACTGATGTAAAGAAACACTGAAATCTTTAAACTTTATTGTTTTCATCTGTGCAGGTTCATTCGTGTGCTGCTGTAAATAATCAGTTCATCTTGAAAACTTGAGAAGAATCAGAGTTGACAGGAGTGTGTTACTCCGGGAGGCGACTTTATCCTTAAAGGGGAGGGGTGGGAGGGGTTTTCTTAAATGTAAGGTGGGTTAAATGTTGACCACTGGTGGCAGTTTGACCTCCTGCTTCTACTTTTTTTTTTTTTTTTACAAATGTAGATGTAACGCCAACGAAACCTCAGCATCATTCTGTTTATAACTCCTCACCTCCCTCTCTTCTTCTGCTTCTGCTTCTTCTTCTTCTCTCCATTGGACCTACTCTTCACCTCTTCTTCGTGGACCTAAACACTTCCTCCTCCCCTCCCTGGTCTGGTCCAGGTTTCAGAGGGAGAGGAGGACTGTTCTGTCTTACTGTGTTTGTCTGTTAAACTCTGAGATGGCCATTGTTATTATTATTATTGTTATTATGATTATAAAGATGAACTTTCATGTTGCTGCTGCTATATACAAAAACCGGACCTTCTGCCATAGACCTGAAACCTCAACAAAGCCGGGCGTTAGCTAGCCGCAATGCCCCGTGAAAACCCGACCGACCTCCTGCGACCTCGACTGCAACTTGATCACAACAAAGCAAAAACAACACAAAGACTTACAGGACGACTTAGTGAAAACACTCGACCTTCATCCGCTCACCGTCCTGTGTCTCTCAGACTGGTTGGTTGGTTTCTTTGCTTTTGCTTCATAGGGCTTGATTCATGTTGTTTTGTGACTTTCTAACTGTGAAAACTTGTTTCTTTCAGTTTCTTCCCATATTTTCACCCTGTGGAGGAAACAGGGAGGGACATATTAGTGGAGCCTTGCACCTTCACTGTGGTACTCTATATCAGGCCAATAATTACACACTTAGACCACTCAACGGACAAAATAGTCCAAATTGAAACACTGATTATTATTATTTTGATTCGGAAGGAAAGAGAGAGGAGATGGCACTGACTTTCTGCAGATACCTTATAAAGAGAAAGTAAATCCTTCGTCTTATGGCTTTCAGCTGTGTTGATATTACAAGGTTGTTTTTGTTGTAAGTGAACATTATAGTTATATGATATTCCAGTGAACCTGTTGACCTGCTTAGAGTTCAGCCACAGCCTCTTTGTTGAAGGAATAGTTTTACATTTTGGGAAACGTGTGTATTTGCTTTCTCGTCCAAGAGTTAGACGAGCGATTGATACCACCCTCTTACATGAATGTTAAATTTGAAGCTTGAGAAAGCAGTCGATTAACTTAGCTTAGCATAACGAGAGAAATGAGGGAAACGGCTAGCCTGTCTCTGTAGAAATATTTAGAAATTCCACCTATTAGCACCCATAAAACTTACTGATTAACACCTTATTTCTCGTCTTTTTAATTCAATTTTAATACAAAAAAAAGTTGATTTACGGACGGTTATTTGCAGGACTACTTTTTTTAACTGTGAGGAGTGACTTCCTGGAGTCACTTTGAGGTTGTTGAAGCACATAACCCCCCATAAAACTACAATGTGTTACCTTTAGGAATCAAACAAGCAATATATAATTTGTTAATAAGTGAGCGTTAAAGGTGCTGGTAGGCAGATTTTGTTACATTTGGACACAGCCAGGCTAGTTGTTTCCCCCTGTTTCCAGTCTGTATGCTAAGCTACGCTAACCATCTGCTGGCTACAGCTCTACGTACCGTTCTGACATGAGCGAGAAAACAATATTCTCTCTGCCAAAAAGCAAAATGTAGAGCTATTTCTTTTTCTCCACCTGATAAGGAGCAACGCAACTACTCCTTAGTTCTGTCTCTTGGTGCAGTTGCTAACAAAAAAGCCAAATTGTCTGTTCTGGTTGATCCATTTAACACCTGTAGGACAGAACAGGAAAATGAACAAAGAGACAAACGTGACTTACATCCTTTTGAGGCATTCCCCTGTGCTCTGTGCTTCTACTGTGGTTTCTTCTCAGTTCGACTGTCATGTCACCGAGATTTGCTCCTTTTTTTGCACACTGAGTGAAACAACAGTCATCTGTGATTTGAAGGGGGGAGGTTCTCTGTGCATGTATGTATGCATGTTTGCCATCCCCAGCACTGCCCCCCCTCCCCCCCGACTTGCACTGCTGAAGTCAGACGAGAGCAGTGAAAGAGAAGTGGTGTGTGTGTGTTTTTTGCAATGCAGTTGATAATCATAGCATTCACTGGTGATGGTTTGTGTTGACGGTCAGACGGTCAAATCTGGATCACATGCACTGAATGACGAGCGCTGCCGTGCCACAGAGCGGAGAACACGTGAACGCCTTTCACTAACGCAAAACCTCCATCCAAACTTTCAATGATTTACATTTGCGTGCAATGTCAGAACCACCACGTCAGATTAGATGTAGAATTTAAAGCGTTTTTTGTTTTGTACTTTTTCACAAAACTGGTATCTTTGTTTAAAGTGTACAGATCGCTAAATGACACGAGAGAAATATGCAAAAAGAAAAAAGACCCAACTAGAGGAGAAGGAGAGAAGGAAGCGAAAATTATGTCCACAACCTTTAACGAATGCTCCTAGAAGTGAAGTCACATTTAATAAGAACAGTTCAAAATGTGTGACTTATTCGCCTTCTGATATAGAGGAAATCCCACAATCTAACATGTTGTGAGATTCACTGAGGTACAATCAATTTTTCCTCAAATTTCCGCCATTTTTTTTGTGTCTTTATTCAATTGAATAACAGAGGGCAGATTAAACATTTAGTTTGAGTGAGGTGCGATTGCCTTCTTTCACCCCAACATCAGACTGTGTTGATGACGCCAGTGGCCCGTCCTTCTGTTCTCCTGAGTCATCCTTTCTGTGCTCTCAGATACCGCCAGTGTTTTCATTATCGGGGAGATTCGGCACTTTTTGGACACCTGGATTGTCCAGACGTACTCAATTGGGCTCAGAAATGACTTTTTAAAGGGAAGTTGTTCCACATAGAGGTTGATCCACATGCTGCCTGAGGGACCTTTCAAAGTTGATTTCAGGTAGAATTTCAATCCCAACATTCTGACTCACAGTTGGATTCAGTCTCAATGTATCCCCTTCAGAAATGTTTCCACTGCTGCTGCCATTCTGAAAACAAAATGTGTTTTAAACAAATGAAGGAGATCATCAGCTCAACAGTCATAAGTTACCAAGTATAATACGTTGTATGTCACATTTTCAGCTGAAGTATAATATTCAACAAAACTTAACCCCAACAGTCCCTGTTAGTTGGTCAGGAGACATTGTTATCCTTAAACTGTGTTTCTTGAACTGCAGCGTGGAACCTAAAATGAGTCCAAAAGTTCTAATGAAGTTGGAAAAAAGGTAGTTTCATTCTGTTTACTCTCCCTAACGTGACAAATTAGAGCAGTTTAAGAAGCTGTGTAAACAATGAAGAAGCTGTTCATCCACGTCCCGCCTCCTTAGAGTTTGATCATGCTACTGTGAGCTAAAACGTCCTCTTATTTTAAATAGGAAAAAGTCATTTTCACCAAACACAACTGAACTACTGAGATCGTCCCAAAATGAAAGTCGAAGTGCCCGAGTTGAATTCTTGGTCAGGTTGTAGCAAACACTGCTTCACTGATTCTACAGTAGTTGAAGTGATAATCAAGCAGTCACTGTGGGTGGCCGGGTGGGTCGGCATCTGGGACTTTTACCTCACAGGCTCCTAAGTGTCAAAGTTCTCCATCGGCCTTTGAAAAGACGTTCTTGAGGTTTTCTACGAGTACCAGTTCACTTCAAAGCCAGACAGCTGCAGAACAGCACCACAACAAACTATACAAAATAAAGATTTAAAATAAAAAAAGGCAAATGACAATCTTTAGAAAGGTGTAATTTGCTCATTGTGTGATTTCCGTTCCCTCTGTCAGTCTGCTGTATCCAGTGGGACAGACGGATTAACCTTTAACCATAATCGGAGCGTTCATACTGAAAACTCCTCTTGTTTTAACGTCACTGGTTGAGCAAATGGCCGACACATTTCTATCTGATTTTTATTTTTTAGTATTACATTATTATTATTATTATCAATGTTCTGATTCTTCTTAATATTATTTTATACATATATTTTGTAGTGCAAGTGCAGTGGTCTTTTATGAAAAGAGATTTTGTACAATATTCCAACCACTTCACTTCTGTTTGCCTATACTGCACATTCCAAACATGGATGTCAACCAACACGGGACCTGACCGCCATCACCACATTCAGCTATCAAGTCTTAACTCTGCAACGGCTTTATCAAAGATTTAAGAATTCAAGCTGCATGTTCACCTCTACTGTCCAACAACTGCACTCCTCAGTGAGTGTAATGTCCCTAATAGATTATGTTTACACTCCGACGTTGGCTTAGAGATTGCGACCCGTCATCGATCTTCCGTATAAAGGACAAAATCAGACTTCACGTGGATCCTCCAGCTGACAAAGAGCAGCTGAGAAGAGAGCAAATGTCACCTTTCTTACAACAGCACTATGCTGTGATATTACGCTTCTGTAAAACCTGCAGCTTGTTGACTGTGGAGCTTGTAGTCTCCAGTGGAAAACAGTGCATGCTGAAGACAAGTTGAAGTTCTAACAACTGGCTTGTCTTTCCAAGTGGAGCCTTGAAATGAGGTTGTTTTAACTCAAAAACTACTGTGAGCTTTGCTGTAACTGAGCTCAGGAGTCCAACTTCCCCCAGTGCAAGAAGTGTTTGACTGGACTGCTACTTTATATTTTATTCATTCAACTGTTTGGTTTAATTTTCTGAGATTCCTTCTTCCTACATGATGGAACTCTTGAAGGGAGGGGGAAATATGCTTATTCGCACATACTTGCCGAGCATTAGATGAGAAGAACAATAGTTGATCATCTCGTCTAAATTTCGTAGAAAGCAAATAAGCACATTTCTGAGAATGTCAAACTATTCTTTTAAAACAAATACAGCCTCAGTGTTCTCTATGGTAGCAACATCTTTTGGTTTAGTTTGCGATGACATAGTTGTGGATCATAGTTTCAGACTAATCCTGATGCAGCAGAGTTTTTAAAGCCATTGAGAGGAATCCGAAAGTGCTGCAGGGAAGCTTCTAGATTCAAACCTGAAACCATCCGATGAGCTGTGATGCCAGTCAGGTCCCTAAAGTTCACACTCAGTTATTCAGCCAGTCTGCTCAGATGTAAAGCTCAACACACACATTTAAAGAAGTGAGTGAAAGGAGGAAAAGTAATGGACCTTTTTTTATTTTTCTATCAGGGCAGGAAGTACAGAGCCTGTCAAAAACAGAAAATGTTTGTCTGGGCCGTTTTGTTTTACTGTTTTACTTTCTGTTCCTTTTCAGTGGTGCTTTAGCTTCCTTATTTTTTAATTTGTGATAGATATTTGATTCCTTTCTTTTCTCTTTCTGTCTTCACCAGACTTTGTGCTGGACTCTTGATTGTCTTGATTTCCTCTGCCGGGGCTTTGTACCTCCAGTAATACCAATGTGAAACCTGTATTCTCCTCATGATTTGACTCAGTGGAAGTGTGATGTTTACATGTACAGATTTTTGCGATTCTTTCTGGTTTTGTTTCTGTTTTGTTTCCTCTCATCCCTCTATTCCCCCCCCCCCCCCATCCCTGTTTTCAGTTAATCTGACTCGTACCTTACACACTGAAGGGAAATGGGACTGCGTCTAAACACAATTATCACCATTTAACACACAAGCCTCTCACATGAGGGGACACGTTGACGTTTTGAATTTCAGTCGTCGCTTTTCTTCACCAGACTCGTGCTTAGATTTTGTTGTTTTTTAGCATCCTTTTAGAAATGCCTTGTCAGTATTCAGTTAACATTTGTGCTAAAGCTGCACCTATGTTTCATTGACAAATGCAACAGCTAGTTTGTGTGTGATTATCAGTTCACTGAGTGGCAACAATGGAGAATTATATTTTTTGTGTGTTTTTGGCAAAGAAATGTCACACGGCTGAAATTGAAAAGCAAGCTTCCCCCATAAAGAAACCGATTGTTTGGGGGGGGGGGGGGGGGGGCGAGCTGTGTGTTTGTTTGGCTCAGTGGAGGATGACCTTTGACCTCTCAGCTGACTCCACAGCACACAAAATCACAGTGGGGCCACAATGACCCTCCGCTGGTGTGACCAGGATCCGGTGCAGATGATTCCTCAGTGAATGATAAGCCATTACAGACCCAGTGTGTCGGGTCTCTTAGTCTATTAGTATATTTAGCAAAACTTTAAACTGCAGATGATAAAACTCAACCTCAGGAAGAAAAGAAACAGGACATCACTTTTGTAAAAACACGTCCAACTGAAGGCCCATTTCCCTCTCTCTTTGATACCATATAAATTATATCAAGAATTCTTTTTATATTTATTGTGTTTATTATTATATATAACAGTGGATACCTTTTTTCCAGTACCTGTGGCTGAATATTTTGATTCTTTAGAAAAGTGTTGATAATATATGTGAAGCAACTTAAACGATCGCGGGAAAATAATTGATGAAAGAAATGTAGGGTTATTATTTTTGTTTGTTTACTCCGTTGGAGCGGTACAGGCGTGTTTGTTTAGCCCGACAACGAGAACATATCACAAAGAAACCAATGATCGAAAAACTGAGCTTTCTTTTGTGTGATGTCACTGCTAAGGCTGAAATGTTTCTGGACTTGAAAAAAATTGTGACCGTTTAGTTTTTTTGTTTGTTTTCTCCCAAGCTGTATGTCACAAAGCTAAATATACTAATAAAACTGTGTGCTATCTATCTGACAGAGCAACGCTTTTTCTTTTATATTCCAGACTGAAGGTGCACTGATCACGTTGGTCCTTGATGAATGGACAGTAACTCAGTATATTCACACAAGTACAAGTACAAAGGTACTTGAGTACTTTTATTTACTGTTACTTTGTACTTTACTCTGGTGTATTTAAGAGGGAAACATTGCACTCTTTACTCTACTACTAGTGCATTTTGGTGGTAGTACTTTTGTACTTTTACGGATTTGGAATGCAGGACTTGTAAGTATTTGTACATTGTTGTACTAGTACTTTTACCTCGGTAAACAATCTTATTACATCAGGAGGCTCACACAAGAGTTCAAATCTTACTCTCTCATTCCTTCTGCCCTTTTTCATTTTTTTACGACAGTATCACTGATTTATCCAGAAAATCCTGATTCTTTCAGCTTCTAACTTTGAGAATGGAAACTAAACAGCAGCCTGTGATATGGAGACTTTATTAGACTCCTCTGATGTAACTTACAGAATCAACGTGTACGCTGAGAAACTGAGCCTTTCACAAATTTAAAGCAGCCGTTCCAACTGAAAGATTAGGATTAGAGCTCAAACTGAAAAGCTTTCATGTTGGATTAGAACCAGCTTTAGTGCTCAAACTTTTCTGCTAACTCATAATGCAAAATCACCTGAGGTCATCAGTTGGACTGAAAACCTGCTGACAGCATGTGTCCCCAAAATTAACCTGCTCCAAAAAGTACCCCACATTACGTCTGTGATTGACTAAATTGACTAGTGTAGCTCATGTGGTCCCTTCCTTAAGTACAGGTCATCATTTAATCACACTCCTCTTAGGTTTGTGTTTCGTCAATAAAAAAAGGTGTTTGATGAGGTCTCAGTGACCTTTGACCACGAAATTCTCTTCAGTTCTGGTTCTCCTCCCTGAGTGCAGGTGGACGTTTGTGCCAAATTTGAAGAAATTAGCTTAAGGCAAGAATGGGACTGACGTACGGTGGAAAACCTGAAAGCATAATTCCCATGGCTGTCGCTGACACAGAGGCATGATGAAAAACTAGAGGAAGATGAGATTACAATACATTACAATAAGACTCTACAGTCATTTAGTTTTAATGATCCTGATCACACAGGCTTGGATTGCTACTAATGATTATTTTCACTACTGAATAATCTGCAGGTGATCTCAATTCATAATTTAGGCTATAAAATGTCAAACAGTAGAAAATGCCAACAACAAGCCCCAAATGTCCGAGCTGTCTGACCAACAGTGAAACCAAAATATGTTTAGTTTACAATCATGTAAATCAATATTTGTTGTTTTATGGTTTCAAAATGATGAAGACAGTTGGAGAATATTTAGATACCAAATTGGATGTAGGCTCTACAGGATGATGTTGTCCTTGGGAACTATCATGTTGTTCCCAAATGACATACAGATTTTTAGGCATTCAATTATCAAATGTCTTGAAAATAGTCGTGTAGCTGCCGTAAATGGGAAAACGGATGATCCTCTTGGGTTTGAGCTTAGTTTAGAATGTTTACGTCCTGATGTTTAGGAAGCCAGAATTATTTTCTCCCCCATGATGAGATCAAGTTCAAGATAAACACTTTTAAGTATCATCAACTTTTTATTACATACAGTGAATATAGGCCAATACGAAGATTTAAATAAAAGATGAGTTGCGTTCACGATGTAACAAAGATAAATAATACAACAGAGTGGAACGTGGCATACTATGATGGTGGAAACTACTGTTTAGCAAACACAGACTCCATCGTTGACTCAACCAAAATGACCTTCAGGGAAAACTGTCTACGAGCCAAACAGACACGCACACATTAGTGCCCTCCCCCCTGTCAATACGCAGGTGTGTCAGCAGCAGGAGCTGTGCAGAGCGCCAAACCCAAACTTTTTACGCACCGTGCCGCCGCTTCACCTTCCTCTTTCCCACCTGCATCAACTGCTGCAACGGTTTTCCCATTCATACCAGATTACAATGGATTAAAATATCCTCGGATTCCATGCTCACGTTCCCGGTTCGCATTGGGTCACACCGCCGAGTCCTCGCAGGGAACCGATCCGTCTTGGATGCCCTCCATTGCCGTTTCCGCATTCCCGCAGCCGCCGTGAACACCGCAGACGCGGAGCTCAGATCCATGATCACAACAGAAAAAACCGGTTCCTCCGGCTAATCTACCCAAGCACTGCTGTCGGTGCAGTATGTTTCCAGCCACGGGAATAGAGGGAACCCGAAGGACTGTACGGCTGATCACTGCGGGTTGTAAAAGGCCGTTTTCAGCGGACTGAGGAAGTCTGAACCGCGTTGTATTGATCGGTGTCACGGTAAAACCTGGAATAACCCCGCCACTGCGCTCCTTCATGTCCCGGGATGGAGAGTTGCTGTCGCTCCTGTATGCCGTGTTTCAACCGGCTCTGGGAATGCATATGGCCGGACGTCCGCTACCCAAACGTCCCCAACAACACCCATGTCATAGCCAATCCGGCCGCGCACACGGCGGAGATCCGCACCGTGTCCGGCGACATCCGCGTCCCGTCTCCCAAGAAGCGGCAGGTGCAGCTCTACGCGGCGCTCTTTGACTTTGAGGCCCGCAGCGACGACGAGCTGACGGTGAAGGAGGGGGACAAGCTGTCAGTGATCGAGAAGCGGGGGGAGTATGTGCTGGCCAAGAAGCTGACCGGGTCCCTGGATTCCGGACTGATCCCGGCGAACTACGTGGCTCTGCTGCAGGACGAGTTCGCCAAACACAAGTCAGTGCTGAAAATGCAACCTCTTCTTGTTTTGTCTCCACACCTCTTCTCTGTTCCTTCATTCCCCAAACGACTACTGATTATACGGTGTGCAGTCTGTTGTTGCACATGCTGTGAGTCAGTGAGGATGTGTCAAAACATCCCGTAATCCCCCAAATGTTGCCAGAATATATTCACAGGACACATTTGAAAACACAGGGGGGCGTTTAAAGGGACAGAAGGTTTGCCTATGTTTGACAGAGTATAATAACATCAGCATGAAACATGTTTCCATTCTGATGACTGTGACATCCTGGAAGTAGAAGCTGCCCGGTGTTTGACTTCTCTGCTGTTAAAGACTTTCTTGTGTTGATACAACAATATCAAACGGGTTCAGTCACCAATGAAAACCACTAAAAGGGCTAAATGCAACCTCAGTCTGAAATGATGTAATGTGATCTGATGTGACTTGTAAAGGGCTTCCTGATAGATTTATACAGTTTAAATTATATATATATATAGCTATATATATATATAGCTATATATATATATAGCTATATAGCTATATATATAGCTATATAGC